AAACATCACGAATCATTTCATTTGGTATTTTGGCACATTCTCTTTCGATTGCTGCTTTCAACTCATTGATTGTTGCAGGTTTTGTGCTATCCCCATAAAAAAAACGTTCTCGCACTTCCAGTAGCACTTTAGGATAAATTTCCTTTTCTCAAAGCTTAGTCTTACTTCTGCCATTACTTCAAATCAGTTGCACCTGTAAAGAAAGAACGTTTAAGTGAGTTATGGGCTCTAAAAGATTCTATACTTGTCTTCTTTAACTTGAATTATAAAACTTAGATATATCTTAATAAACATTGTACTTATAATCATTCAAAGTGTGTGTATACATTTTTTGGGGACACCCTGTAGATAACGAATGTCTCTATAGAATGTGACGTTTGTTTCATAAGGAGTATTAGGTTCTTAGACAAGGTAGTATTTTTATTACATTAAGTTTATATGCTAATTGATTGTGGACTTTGTTTTTGTTTTCTGGGACTCTACAGAAGCAGTATATTTTTGTGTATCGAGCCTTAATGGAGCATGCTCAGTTTGGTGACACAGAAATAGAGATGAGACACTTAAGGGAACATTATGCGCAACTAAGCAAAGCTGAAAATTCGGGATTACAGATGGAATTTAAAGTAAGATATGTGTCTGTTTTCTTATTGTTTATTTTAAATATGTATTTTATCATCTATTAACTGAAGTAGATATCAGAGTATGATACATGCTAATCTGACACTTGGATGTTGTTATGAGTATGATACATGCTAATCTGACACTTGGATGTTGTTATGAGTATGATACATGCTAATCTGACATTGGATATTGTTATGAGTATGATACATGCTAATCTGACACTTGGATGTTGTTATGAGTATGATACATGCTAATCTGACACTTGGATATTGTTATGAGTATGATACATGCTAATCTGACACTTGGATGTTGTTATGAGTATGATACATGCTAATCTGACACTTGGATGTTGTTATGAGTATGATACAAGCTAATCTGACACTTGGATGTTGTTATGAGTATGATACATGCTAATCTGACACTTGGATGTTGTTATGAGTACGATACATGCTAATCTGACACTTGGATGTTGTTATGAGTATGATACATGCTAATCTGACATCTGGATGTGGATATGAGGAAAATGTACAATAATCAGACACTTGGTTGTTGTTATGAGTATGATACATGTTAATCTGACAATTGGTTGTTGTTATGAGTATGATACATGCTAATCTGATACTTGTATGTAGTTATGAATAAAACTGCTTAATAATTTACAGTCACTACACATCTTTATGTGAAAAGAAGTTCAAAGCACCTTTTCTATGAACCGTATAAATTAATAGCGTAAACAAAAAACGTTTGTTAAATAAAAAAACTTTCTTTTTACTTATTAAAAGCATTTCTTGGTAATAACAACATCCAAGTG